CATGGCCTCAAGATTGATGGGAAGCAATAGTGTATGACTACCAAGGATTAGTGAAGTAATTCACTTAGAATGCGATCCTACACAATGTACCGTGGGGTAAGCACAGATCTCTCTGAGAGACCAGTCGTTTTTCATAAGATAAGAGAATCTTTAAATACAGAACCAAAGGCAAGATTTGAACACGATCTCAATCATATTAAGACATCATTAAGGACACTAATCGCAGATACAGTTTCAGCAGTTGGTATTTGTAAGCTTTATAGAACAGGAAAAAAGGTGGATTCTGGAAGTCCTCAGAAAAACCGCCTCCTAAAGGTTACATTCAACACGGTGGAAGAAAGGAACCTGATTCTAGGTAACTCACGTAAACTGATTGGATCCGGAATATATGTCCGTGAGGATCTCAGCTTATCTGATCGTATTAAGAGACGAGCTGCAGAAGCGGAAATAAATGAGCGTCGTCAAAACGGTAAAATAAACCTCGTTCTTAAGGGTTTTCAAATTGTAAAAGTTCGGAGCAAAACGATCCCCAAGCCACTCTAGGTAGCAGGGGAAAGCTCTCCACAGACTTAAAGGTATGATACACAAATGCTCGCAGCCTTTTAAATAAAATGGCGGAGCTCAAGTCAGTGGTGGATAAAGAAAAACCGGACGTTATTGCTGTCTCGGAAACTTGGTTAGCGTCAGAATTATTAGATAGTGAAATCCAATTGACTGGTTTCATAACCAGTAGGGCTGATAGATTAAACTGAGGGGGAGGCGGGGTTATTCTGTACACGAAAAGTACCCTAACCATAAGATTAGCTGAGACAGTAGCACATGTTTCAGGGACATGTGAACTGGTGAGATGGAAGTTGAAATGCCGACGGCAAGATATTGAGTTAGTTGTAGTATATCGCAGTCCAGAATGTGTAGCAGATGATTTTATCCTAAATAAACTTAAGTCCTGGTGTAACAACGGTAAAAGTCTTGTGGTAGGCGACTTTAATGCAGCACATATAAACTGGGTTAACTTAGAAGTAGGGTCATACATATCGTCGTTCCACTGCAAACTGTTAAAAACCTCGATTGGATTAGCATTATTCCAGCACATTAGAGATCCCACAAGATACGACTTGCGAAACTCTTCTCTTTTGGATTCAGTCTTGACACACGGTGATGACGTTGGTCAAATGGCTTTTCTCCCACCACTTGGGAGAAGTGACCATGCAGTCATCATGGCTGAGATTACCTGTCAAACAGTTGCACCGGCCCGTCCCAACATATGGAAGGCAGATATGCGGGCAACTAACTCCGCAGCATCAGCTGAAAACTGGGATATTGACTTAAAGGCATCAGTACAAGAGGCATGGACTCTATTCAGGCAGTTATACAATCGGGTAACTCAACCATACATACCCTGGACTGTCCCAAAGAAAAAGAAGCACAGACATCCCTCGATAGGGCGGGATATTCGACGCTTACTAAGACAGAAGAAAAAATACTGGGATGTTGCCATCCACCTCGGCACAGCAGGTACGATGGAACGCTAAAGATCGATAAGAAACGAGTGTATAACAAAAATTCGTGAAGCTCAAAAAAAATATGAAATGCAGTTGGTACAATCTGCACTCAAGCATCCCAAGAGAATATTCTCGTACATAAACTACAGAACAAAGATGTATCATTGGATTCCCAACTTAATTAAAGTAAGAAGTGAATCCGAAGTGATAGAGGGAGATCAGAAAAAAGCAGAGGCTATGGCTGACTACTTTGGGGCAGTTTTCACCCAGGAACCTCTACTAGAAAAAGAACCAAATCAAAATAAACAGTCAACAAACCACCTGCTCACCGTGGACTTCGACCAAAACGATGTGCTTAAAGCTCTTAGCAACTTAAACGTGGAAAAGTAAACAGGACCAGATGAACTATACCCCAAAATCTTGAGACATATGGCACAATATATCGCATCCGCACTGACTGTGATATTCAACATGTCACTTGATCAGGGAGTGCTACCAATGGACTGGAAGGATGTGATCGTCACTCCCATACACAAAACAGGACCAAAAAAATTATCGAACTACAGACCTGTAAGCCTCACCAGTGTTGTAGTTAAAATATTGAAAATAATAGTCAAACGGACCATAATGGCATTTATGGAAACCGACAACCTGCTAAATATAGAGCAACATGGTTTTGGGAGGGGTCTGTCTTGTACAACGAACCCCCTTATAGCAAGAGAGTTCTGGATCGATGCGCTAGACAACAGAAACTCAATGGATGTTGTCTACATAGATTTCAGTAAGGCTTTTGACAAGGTGCCAACTAATAGACTGCTATTGAAGTTGGCAAACCTTGGTATTGCCGGACCTCTTTTAAAATGGATTAAGGATTTCCTAGTAGGTCGTAGGCAAAAAGTAAGAATAAATTCCAAGTGCTCCATCTGGAGATCAGTACTTAGTGGAGTACCCCAAGGTTCCGTCCTAAGTCCTTTACTTTTTATAATGTACGTTAATGATCTTACAAGTATTGTACAGTCTCCAATGTTATTATACGCTGACGATGTAAAAATTTGGCGAGTAATAACTGGAGACAAAGACGCATTTGCTCTTCAGGCATACTTAAATAAAATGATAAACTGATCTAAAGAGTGGCTGATGCCTATCAACGCGGAAAAGTGTGTCTACATGCACTTGGGGGATTCAAAGTTTAATACATACAATATAGGGGATGTGTCATTACCCGTAGTCCGGTCTCATAAGGATCTAAGGGTGACAGTGAGTAATGATCTTAAGACGACGGCCCATTGCAGGCAGGTCGCAGCCAAGGGGTTTCAAACCCTCTGGGCTCTAAAAAGGACATTCACTAAGTTAGATACTACCATGTTCACCACAGTATACACATCCTTAGTGAGAGCCCAGCTAGAGAACTGTGTTCAGGCTGCAAGCCCCTGCTTAAAAGGTGACTCGGACATACTAGAAAAAGTACAGAGGGCAGCTACCCGTGCAATTCCGGAACTCCGGAGTTTTTCATACAAAGAGCGGCTTGAAAAACTGGACCTCTTTACTCTGTCCTATCGCAGACTAAGGGGAGATCTAATTTCGATGTACAGAATACTGAGAAATGATTTTGGACCTAACTAATTCTCTCTCTTTCTTCACACTAGATCGGGACACCTCAGCGGACATAGCAGGCGAGTGGAAAAGTCAAGAACGAACAAAATACCCGTGGCATACAGGTTTTCACACCGAGTCATCAATACTTGGAAACTGCTGCCTGAAGCAGTTGTGTCCGCACCTTCAATTGACGCTTTCAAGAGAAGACTGGACACTTACAGAAGCGTACTAGAAAGGGAATAACATAGGCCGTAGGCCTTCTGTCCTTACTACACAAATCTGAAATACCTGAAAGGCGAAGTTTCAAAGCTAAGCGAGGCACAAGATGCTTGCTACAGAACAAGTGGAAAGTCTTTCAGAAGAATTCAGTTTAAAACTCTTACATGACATTCAAAAACGAATGCAACACTGAACTCTGCGGAGATATGGGTTTCTATAGGCCTGGCTAGCAGATAAAACATAAGCCGATTCTAAACATCTACATAGACTCATGATCAGATGAAGACCAAAAAAGCTGGGGATCTGTACTCTTAAAGGGTTAAACAGAGAAAATCTCACTACCCTAGTAATGGCAAAGATCTTTAGTGCTGACTTCACAGGTCAACTAAACGAGGATTCCGCAGCCACGGAACATTTAAGAACTCTTTTGATAGTAGAGAAACTAGGATATATTCAACTTACTCCCGAGTTATTAATAAAAAGACTATAAAGTTTGTGTTTAGGAAAGTCCCCTGTATTCGATAACATTCGGTCTACAATCGTAAAACAGTGTGCAAAAGCCATCGGGACACTAGAGTGTTACCTGCTCAGTCACTCACTAGATCCACACTGACTCACAATATAACAGAAGCAGGCCGCTCTCTCCAGTCTTCAAGAGGGTGTTAGAAATGACTCAGCTCGTTACAGACCAAGCGTATTTCTCTTATTACTGTCAAAGGTTAAAAACAACATCCTCCATGAAGCCCAACACGGGTCCCTTGAGTCAGCTACGTCTGATACTTGTCTCACAACTTACCACGATTACCATGACCGACAATACGTAAAGTCCTACTATCTCGCATAATAATATCTCTGATTTCCCTATTATTTTTTAGTTTCGTCTTCTAACATTGACTTCATTCTCAATAAGTTGTAAAGATGCGACAGGTATTCGGAGTTTGGCAACGCCTAAACAAGTAATAACTTTATGATCAAAGCATATCAACTCAGTCAAATCAGAAGTCAGAAATGAAGGGGTACGAAGATATATTTGAAGGCTATCGATAAATAAGAAAGCGTTTGGTTTAAGATGGACAACAGTTATAGGGAATGCGTAGCACGGCATATCCACTCGTTCTCAAATGTGTATGCGTGACCTAACGCTTTTATCTAGATGTGTCCAGTAAAACTAGTCAGGTCAGCATTAATTTCAAAGACTTACAGAACAATTTATTTAGGGAATTTTCATCGCTATAGTTAACTTATTCATTTGTTCGCGGGACAATTATCTTTTGACAATTTTATTATCACATTATCTTCAAATTGCAACCAACCAGCTTTCTACCTCGTAATGTGATAGCTGCTGGTATCAAGACTCCGTACTGCCCTGAGACCAACGGACTCACCCAACTTTATGATATACACATCTACAAATAACTAACAAACTGAATGAAATTATTGCGGTCTAGTGGGTAGACTACCACTCCCTAAACAAAACCGAACCCATCGAATTGTACTGATACAACAGTATATACAATATCAAGACAAAGATATTGGACATCGGATTCATTGTTTCTGGCCAATCAAATAGCAGCCCTGAAACAAGACAACGTTTGTAGAAATTTGAAGCTTTCAGTTTGTTGTCGTGACTGAAATAACAAACCTATTTAAAAGCACTCACTTCTATTTCTTTTCTATTTGAATATGTTTCGCCTTGAAATTGTCTACAAGTTATTTCACTTTATGCATTTTCCAAAGGAAGAAGTAAGTGCTTATAGATGTACAATTCTGCTTACATCCTCTAGTTCATTATCTCTAGAAATATATCATATTTGTGTTCATATTTTATATTATCCTGTCTTTAAGTGCTATACTGGAATCAGGTTGACGTCCTTCTTCGCTTTCCCGTGCTCATGTTTTGTGCTAGTGTTTATAATTTAGTTCGTTTTCTTCCTGATCACGTGAAAACTATCACCTGGTTACAAACTTCATTTTGGTTAACAGGAGCTTCAATCATTTGTTTTCCTGTTTGGCCCACTCTTCTACATTCTGTGAGGAGAGCTAACACAGACTTATTTTGTAATAACTTTATCATTACTTTTGTAAATGGTATATTTTTGTCCACCACAATTATCTGGTAAGTCTGACGTGATACGAACATGCAGCCTTCCGATCTGGAGTCAGATACACAGCTACTAAAGTGGAGTTGGCTCACTCGCTTTCTCCGTTCTTCTTCGCTTCGCTTTCCCCACTTTGTTTCTCTAATTTTCTGTCCAGATAAACGAGTATATGAAATAAACGTGTTCAGAACCCATTCTCGTATCTGGTTTATTTAATTCAACCATTCACTAACAGGATTCAAGTCGATAGTTATTTACGAGGGTAGTTGGCATGTATATTTCGATAACTATCGGCCTATGATCTAACTGGAGCCAGATACAGGGCCACTATGGCAAATTGACTGATAATTAATGGTAGTTAAATTTAGCAAGGAAATGAATCGATTTTATACCCATCTAACTCGTTTTACTAAGATAACTAAAAGCCTGTCGAGTAAATTTTTCCTGTTCCTCCTTTTCTTGTTTGTAGCAAATGAGTCCAACTTGATTTTTGAGCTTCTTGAGTTCATGTTAACTGTCACTGCACTCAGAAGTATTGCGGTACTAAGTATCAAACTAATACATTTTTATTCCTCGTTTCACAACTTGGTGTCTAAATAAGTAATAGATGAATTGTTCACTAGCACGTTGAGAAAGCTTCATAAATAATGTCATAAAAATTATGTTTTATTGCAAAATCATGCTGGCATTCTATTGTTTGCTTCCTGTTTTTATTTCTCATGGTATATGATTGACTTATGTTCACACACTATCCGTACGACATAACATTGATTTATTTCTTGTTCATCTCTATATAGATACATGGATACTAACAGGTAATTATGTGATTCCAAATGCGATTTCAGATATAAACCCGTCACCTATGTATCTTGTGGTATTTAGAATCTGTGGGTCAGTCTTTATCGTATAGCTCATCACCATACCAACTTAATACTTTTTGTTTTAAGCTTCAAGAACCTTATCAAACAAAAGATTATTTATAGATTGTAACCTAGTTCAGAGACGTGGAACACTTATTAATAAGCCAGACTATCTTTTCTAATTGTGTTAAACTCAGCTTAAAGTTCTGCTCAGGGATGTTTTACGTGATCTAAACGTTGGTAAGCTAGGTTAGCTTTCAGAATAATAAAAAATAGCCTGTGATTACTGTATATTGTTGTCTATCTATTTACAGAGTTTATTCAATGTAATAAATATAGAAAATCATACTTCTGGCAAATTTTAGTAACCCACCATATAAACAAATTTTAGTACACTTACCACAGATTCAAAATATAATTATAGTGTATAAGCCTGTCCATAGACATTCAAAGGTTAAGTTCATTCTCGTCGAAACCTAAGCTCAATCACTAGTACAATTGTTTACCGATAAATATTTAATAGGTTAACAGCAATACACTATTACGAACTGTAAATGTATAGGTGCATTTTTGTCAGTCATTTTCCAGTGAAACTAATCTTTTTTGCTTTACTTTGATTAAAAAACTACAGATGGACGTATTTTCTAAACCAACATTATTCACTCGAGTCTTTGCTCTTTCTATAAGAAATATGAGTTCAACAAATCAACAACCAAAGCATAAAATTCTTATCGTAGGTGGAGGCGCAGGTGGTTGTTCAATAGCTAATCGTTTATGTAAACATTTCGAAAAGAATGAAGTTGCTGTCATTGAGCCGTCTGCAGTAAGTAATTCTTAAATCTTATTGGAAATCCTTTATGGCAAATTACTCTTTTTTCTACCATGTTGATATTTTTATCTTAATAATTTCATCTGGTTGTCCTGTTATAATACGATAACGTAGGCTGATAGACTTCCATGTTGGGTCTTACGTTTATTTCAACTGTCTTGTTTAAATCATTACAAAATTACTGTATGGCTTGGGTTTTCTTCTTTTAACAACTTCCCGAGCTAAGAATCTTCTGCAACTATGCTTATTCTTATTCGTTCACACTGCCGTATAAGTAACACCGAAACTGAGCACAACAATGTCATAAGTATTGCCATTTCCAAACAGTATTTTTGACGGATCAAATACACTTTAATTGTAATTTCAGTAACCTTCATGCTAAACATTATCTGACACTCAAGCTGAGTAAAAAGGACAGGAGGTCAGTTTGTACCACTCATGAAAGTTGGAAAAATATGATCCCAAACTAATGGTGTGCTTAGGCTCCACGGTCCTAAGCAGATGATTGACATAGGAACTTATTTTTGGTTACCAGTTACAATGATACAACGTTTGACGTGAATTCACTGGTTTAAGAATTACACCTCCAAGTCAGAGGCTTTCGAAGTGATCTCCCTGGATAAGTACCTGGTCCACCTTGGGAGACTATACACTATCTCAACCCACAAATTCTCTTTTGTATAGCACGTGATATTTTTGGTGTCTAGTTTTACCTGATTTTGCATGAATTCGCACGCCACAGGATAAAGTTTTTTGTTGTTGATTTATTAGCTTTCAGTCTATCACAAATACCTGGACAAATTCCTAAAAGCCTTGGAATTTAATGACTCAATACTTTTTCAGGCATGGGTCAAAATGAAACTCAATTACACTCATTGATGTAATTGAGGTTTTGCTTTTTTTTGATGAGCGATAGAACATACTTTTTGGAGGATTAATATATTAACTGTGTTCCTGTTTCAACGTCAGCCTTTACTATTCCATATTCTTTTTCCTCGTGATATCGCTATATTATTTTTTTTCAATAATATTGTTATTCAGACTCATTATTACCAACCTTTATGGACACTTGTTGGTGCTGGTATTAAACCGTTAAAGGAATCAGCTCAACCTCTAGAAAAAGTTTTAACATCAAAAGCCACATTGTATAAGGATAAAATTACACATATTGAACCAAAAGAATCTTATGTTGTACTATCAAATGGAGATAAAGTGAGTACTTTCATGAAACTAATTTTTATGTGAAAAAAAGTTATGCAAAATGCATATTGTTTCCTTCACTGTTTTTTTATTTACTTAATACAATGTAGCACATACATGCAATTAATAAAGAAAATTCTGAATACCTACTTGTAGTTTCTTAAGAAAAGCTAATTTTATTACAAAATGTATCTTTTTCTATTTGGATTTTATTTTTATTTTTGTAGCTACAAGTAAAGTGACTATACTCATGAATATTAGTAATAAACTTGTCTACTTTATTTAAAAAAATGATATGTAAAATGAAATTTCTATTTTAATAAAGTCAGTCAGTCAGTAACAACGTAGAACTTCGTACGTACGTAAATCAGTTCGAGTTGCCATACCACATTAGCACAGAGATGCAGTTGTCGATTCAAATCTCATAGTGGTAGAGGTAATAAGAGTATAAGCAGTAATCGGGAAGATTAGGGTTTTGAGATGTTATTTAAAGAGTATAATCCAGTGAAATAAATTTGGAAAGAGGAAAAAAGGGACATGAAGAATTCAGAAGATAAGGATTTGAGAGAACACAAAGAGTGGACGTACCTGCACCATTGCAAACGATTTTCAGCCATGTCATTCAAGGTCTCTAGCCATCGGTTGCTATCAACTCACGGATCCCAATCAAGTAGTCTATACCTACCAAGATAGTTCAGTTCACTTGTCAGTAACTTCATGAATTTCTGCCATGTTTTGGTCTGGCCGGCCCTAGCTTTCTTCCAACTTACTCCTACACCATGAAACATCGCTCGTCGGGGCAGTCGGTAGTTAGTCACGCGCAATACGTCTCCCAGTCATCTCAACTGATGAAGTTTCACTACTTCATCAATTGATCTGCCACCCTTACTTAGTACCCGTTTTCTAACAACTGCATTACTTACTCGGTGGAATTTTACACTTTGATATATACAATTTTTAACGAAAGTGAAAGTTTGTAGCTCACGTGGATGTTTTGACAGAGTTTTGTTCTCTGAACTGGATGGTTTGGTTGTGGAGCTTTCATCGTTCTTCTGAATGATATCATCAGCACAAAATTCCACCTAAAGCTCCCTGACCAAATCATTCAGCTCAGAAAACAAAAATTTCACCACAGTTATTAACATTTTGCGAAATTTACTTTCAGTTTTTAACCAACAAATAAATATATAGGTTAATAATATTAGGGCTGATAAGATTTTCAATGAGCTGTCTGAATTCCTGTGTTAATAACAACATATTTGCTTTACTGTCCTTGGCAGTAATTAAGATTTCGTTTAGATGTGGACCTTTTCTGTACGATATCTTTTTGTTTGATCACTCTGTGGTCTGGATTTATGTGATATGTATTAAGTCCTTTATTATCTCGCTTCTATAAGATTAGTTGATTTCTTATGGTCTGATTTTAGTTATGATCTTCATCTATCACATATACCAACTTCATAACTATTTTAAATCATATCTTACGCTCTGTATGTATTGTATTTTTGCATAGTTTTCGATCTCGTTCTTCTGTTCTTAAAACTTTAACTAAAATTTAACAAACTTTGTTGCTAATCAGCATGTAAATTGTTAGTATTATTTTAGTATTGTTGAACTTTCATAGTTAGATGGCTTAATTGCGGATCTTTCATTAGTGATCCGAACAAGTTAAACGACTACGTAATTTAGAAGTTTCTCGATTATCCTACGAGCTCTTGATCAGCCCATTTTGGTATCGTTGCTTGTGTTTGATTATGTTTGTAGGTTTTGTCATTTTCACTTTTTTTGATATTCAATCTGACTGTTTTGTTCTGTTGTCCTCTCATCATGTGCTGGATGAACCTTTTTCATATGGGTTAACAAATATAATTTATTGATGACCAATGGGTATAATTGCTACGTTTCTAGAAATTATTTGCCATTCTGAAAATCCCATCAGTGTGGAATTTAGACGTTATCCCACTCGAATTTGTATCCATGGTTGTTTACACATACATTAATATTAATGATAACGTAGTGCGTCGTTTCACTGATATTTTATGTTCGTGTATGCGTTCATTTTGTCCAATATAGTGTTTGCTACAGCTTTTATGATTTATTGTGTTGATGATGTGAAACGTGTCGTTCTTTTTTTGTTGTGTCTTTGGGTTCGCATAGAATAAACTTTAGTCACTGCATTGGTTTATTAGTAACATTGACTGCAGGATGTTTAAAAATCCTCGTGATGTTTTATCACATATAATATTGTTGGGTTTCACAACTGATTGATCACTGAGTGAGATTATAACAAATGTCATGTGTATCAAGTTCTTCTTAGTGCAGATCGTATGCTATCGACCAAGTTGCAATGTGGCCTTAGTCTAGGTGACTCGACATTGCGTGCACTATGTTGAGATAGAATGGTGGGTTTCACATATCGGCTGAATATTTGGCGGGTACTGTGATCCAGTGGTTTATAACTTTCTGTCATTTAAAACACAAACTAGAATCGAAATTATGTATGAACATCAGTACTGAGACCACAAATTATATCCATTCAACTGATTAAAAATATAGACTCTTTTAGATTGTAACATCTGATTGGTTTATAATACATTTTCTTTGTTCATGCTTAACGTTTACTTCCAAGTCGTTTAACATGAATTTCGAAATAGTTTTCTACTGGGCACACACATTTTTAAGCACTATTCAAGGAAATTTCCTTGAAAAAGCTTAGACCAGATTGCAAGGCTATACGTTGGATTTACTTCGAATTCATTTGCTGAGATTTTACAAATACACTATTCTTTAATGACTATTCTAGGAGCTTGGCTCTTATGATCTATTTTCTGAATATTTTAACCTTTTTCTAACAAATGAATTCCAATGGTCAAATAAGAGACTGATCATAAGGTTGATATCAAGTCAGCAGTTGTAGTGTTGTACAGAAGCCTTCAAGGGCGTATCCTAAGATTTATTGAAGCCTTGGCTATACGGAAACTGAAACCCCCTTTATGTGTTCATAAACGATTCGTTCTTACCCTTAACCTAGCTTAGTAATATTGGTTTATTATCCAAAGTGGCTGTCAGATTATTTTTGTATATTTTTTAATTGTTGAGATCATGAGTCAATTGGAGATAGACCAACATAGAAAACCTGGAAGCACTGGACGGCCGTTTCGTCCTATTGCGGGTCTCGCGCGCCAGCATTTAACCACTGGACCTCTGAGCCAGCATCCAACGGTGTTATTGTTTAACTTCAACTAATCCACGAAATTGAGCGACACACCCACCATTGTCATCAATGAGTTACTATCTCACAACTGACTCTGTTGAACTCCACTGGTCACGGCTTCTCACTAGAACTCCAGGATATACATCTTGAAGCCATTCATTAGTGAGCATATGTTGATTAATATCAGAAGGGGTTTTTGTAGAAATTTTAGTTATTTCAATTGTTGAGATCATGAGTCACTAGTGACTGGCTTCAAGATGTATGTCCTGGAGATCTAGTGAGAAGCAGTGACCAGTGGAGTTCAACCGGGTCAGTTGTGAGATAGTAACTCACTGATGACAATGATGTATGTGTCGCTCAATTTCGTGAATTAGTTGAAGTTAGACATTAACACCGTTGGATGCCGGCTCAGTGGTCTAGTGATTAAGTGCTGGCGCGCGAGACTGATAGGTCCTGGGTTCGGATCCCGCGGGGTGGGATCGTGGATGCGCACTGCCGAGAAGTCCCACAATAGGACGAAACGGCCGTCCAGTACTTCTAGGTTTTCTATGGTGGTCTATCTTCAATTAACTCATGATCTCAACAATTGAAATTACTAAAATCTCCACAAAACCCCTTTGTGATATTTTATCTTTCTTTGTTATGGCTTACCTTTAACCTATCTAGTTGACCTTTTAGTTTTCATATAAAAGTGTTCTTAACAAGTATATATGTGATCAGATTGTTCGAAATTTATTGCGCAATTAAATCACATATTTCTGATAACCTTTGTCTTCTCATTGCATTAAACTTTTTCTACTATATTCTTTCAAAGTTTATCAGCATCGTGATATTCTGGGCTGCACAATATACTACTTTATTCAGTGAGACTAATTTATGAACGACCTTTGAGCGGCGTCAAAGTGACCTTGAGAGTGTCCACCTAATAACTAGGACCAAATGAGAGTTATAAACCAGTATGGGGAATTATAATTATGATTTACAGTTGATATTTAAAGTTAGAAATTAAATTTAGGGTTTTCATCACGAAATGACATCAACTATAATGCCAAAACTCTATATAGCCAACTGGTTGAGTGACATTTCGCGCCAAAATCTAGGACCTATCATTTTATACCTGATTGGTTCATCCATAAATTATAGTCTCTCCGCATAAAACAATAATCTTCATAAATTTCCTTTCTTATGATATTTCCTTTCAGATATCATATGAATATTTAATCTTGGCACTTGGAATAACTTTACGTTATGATAAGGTAAATATTTGTACCGTATATGTCCATTTTTCATAGACAAATTTTGAAATCATTATCTCATGCTTATATTGTAGTTAAGCTTCTTGTAACCTTTAGGTAGTAGAATCGCTGAGCTTGTTCATTGATCTTTCACATCTGCATAAATTGTGTCATTCTGATTTCCGGCTTTTCCTCTGAACACTGTGTCAGTTTGTGGTCAACCGATCTTTCAGTCGCAACGTAGAATTTGGTTCATATGTGTATAATTAATATAACTTCGAGGTAGTATCCTGCTTCAATAGATCAAAATGTATATCCTTAACTGAGATTGAGAAACAAATATCAGACGTTAAAAATCACAAAAAGAAGTATAAACACTCACTTCAGAGACATTTCCTTGACCACCATTAATAATATCACAGATATTCTTTTCTAATGTTCCCACCTGACCAGCTATAAATAATGCATCATAAAAGAATGAATTTACTCAATTTATGTGTAATGCATGACGGGAAATCTGTGATTAATATGATAATAATTGTCTTTCAGTGGGGTAGAACTGATTGAATACCAAATCGAATATGACATTAGTGAACAACATTGTCTGTGCTTAGACTGTCATCAGGTTTTACGCCAATCGTACAATAAAATTTATACACATATATATGAATAAAGGATATTCGTATTTGAACAAAGATGTCTTCAAACAGTCAGTCGGTAGCAAAATTTAACCTGATATGTATGTACATCAATGAAAGTTGTCATACGACATTCGCTCAGAAAGATGAAATTATTAAGGCGAATTACACAGTGGTGATAGAAGTAGTAACAGTATCAGTGGAAATGGAAAAAACTGAGCATCGAAGATACGATTAGAGAAAATACAAATTTGTGACTTCAAAAGAATTATGAGGAATTCAGAAGCTCAGCATTAAGGAGGATACAAAAAATGGATGCAAATGCGCCACTCCAAATGATTTTGAGCTATATTATTTACAGTCTCTAACTATTGGTTACGATAATCACGCGGTCCCCTGACCAGATAGTTTACATCTATTAACGTGACCACATTTCGTTCGACCGTCCTTAAATTTCTTCCAGCCTAATCCTACACCACAGGTTGAGATAAGTGGAGGTTCGGGATACTTAACATATATCAGAACTAACTCAGTTGATAATCATTCACTACCTCATTAATTAATTCACTATCCAACCTAATACTTATGTATAGCCTCGACATGGATCATTAGAAAGTCTCAAAAGATAACAGTGATTCTTCGAAAACACTTATGATCGACTGCTAGCAGCCTAAGAATGTCATTTATTCTTAATGGCTGTTTCACCAATGCTGTTGCTTCTGTTCAGTCAGTAACAACGTAGAACTTCGTACGTTGCTTCTGTTACTACTCTGGGACTTTACTTGACAGTTCTATCTCAATGTAATAATACTTAATGGTGGGGAAGATTTGTAGTTCATGTGGATGATTTTGATGGAAGAACACCTACTCCGAAAGGGATTAAACTACAGTACTACGACGCCTCAAAACTTCCGGAATCAGTGAAGAAACACAACAAGAAATAAGGCAAACTGTAGTACCGCTAACTCAACAAGTGAAGGAAAACAACCAACTGACCCCACAAGAGCAAAAAGCTTTGAAGGAACTCAGAACCAGAAAGGATATTGTCATAGTTCCAGCGGACAAAGGACGCACCACAGTAACTATGAACAAAGAAGAATATGTCGAAAAAACCGAAGAACTACTTGAACGTAAGAGTGCATACAAACTGATGGATATAAATCCCGTCAAAAAATTAGACAACCGAATCTCAAAGACTTTAAACAAGCTAGTCAATGCAGGAGAAATAACAAAACAAGACCGATGGAGAATGAAATCCAGTGGACCAGTACTCCCTCGATTCTACGACAGACCCAAAATACACAAACCAAACATTCCACTATGTCTAATTATAGTACTCTCCGAAATTTCAAGAATACTGAATCATTTAGTCGATTCATCCAACCACTCCATCAAATCCCCCACACAATTCCTGAACCAAAATATGGACATTTAAACCAACAACGACGAACTGATGATATCCTTCGATGTAACAGCGTTATTCACCTCAATTGAACCAAGGTTAGATAGAGAAACCATATCCCTGCTCCTCACTAACGACACAAATCTAAGTACACGAAGCTTCGAATTCAAAGTCTACTAGAACTCATCGATTTATGCCTAAAAACACTTTCAATTCAACAACATAATCTACGAACAAACGAAAGGGACACCAATGGGATCAACAATATCAGGACTGATCTCAGAAACAGTGATACAAAGACTAGAAGCCGCGATATTACCAGTGATCAAGCAAAAAATTTGGATTCGCTACGTAGACGACACCTCCGTCATCGTCAAAAAGGATGAACTGGAAAACACATACAAACTGATCAACAACGTTTTCAATGACATCAAGTTCACAATGGAACAGGAGTCAAACAACCAACTAGCATTCTTGGATATATTGATCACTAGAACCGACACAGGAAAACTGGAAACTCAAGTATATAGGAAACCGACCCATACAGATCAAATTCTCAACTACAACAGCAACAACTCAAGAGCTCACAAAATCAACTGCGTACACACATTGTTCAAGAGGGCGAGGACACACTGCAGCACACTGGCAGCACGAAGAAATGAAGAGAAATACCTAAAGGATGTATTTCAGAAGAACGGCTACTCAATCAACTCCATCAAAAAGCACCAATGGCACACAGCATCAGAACCCAAGTCAAGCACAGAAATCAACAAAAGGATCCCCTACCATACATAAAAGGCATATCAGAAACCTCAACGAGACTGCTAAAAACCTTCGGGATAGGTGTAGTACACAAACCAACAAAATCACTACAATCAATCTTATGCAAACCAAAGGATGAAATAACAAAGGAAAACAAATCAAACATCATCTACAAAATAAATTGTGCCAACTGTGAAAAACACTACATCGGACAAAGCGGACGCCCCCTCCACCTACGCCTACATGAACACCAATTAGCAGTCAAACGCCATGTTATCTCTTCACTTATATCAATACACGTGGATAACTACGGACATTCATTCGATTGGGAAAATGTAGAAATCTTAGACTGAGGAAACTCCAAAAACACCAGAGATATTTTAAGCACTCAAGTCAATCAGCAATCAATAAGCACATTGAAATCGATCCAATTTATCAACCAATCAGAAAAATCATGCACAAATATAGGAACAAAAATCAAACCGATGGGAGACGCAACCAAAACAAAGAAGTAAACAACGACAAATTTAAGGTCAATAAGAACCAATCAACATCGAGGTGTACAGAACAAGCTGTGAAACGCATATGGAGAAATTCGAACATTTCACTTCTATCTGAAGTTTGTGCTGATGATGTCGTTCAGAAGAACGATGAAAGCTCTAGCTCAGAGAACAAAACTTCATCAAAAGCAGATACTTAGTTACAAAGTAAATCAATAGAAACGTGTTTCAGGTTGTACGTTGCGTATGACTGACTGCGTGTTGTGTTTAACGGGAATTACAGTCAGTAAATTTATGGGTATAGATAGAATGACTTTAACAATCGTCAAACAACCTACTCATTAATTTCGCACTAATTTTCCTGCCTCTATATATATTTGATTAATTGTTTTTCCATTTTCTTCTCTAAGATTATTGGAGCTGAAGAAGCATTGAAAAATGATCCGCGTGTTTGTTCAAACTATTCTACAGATTATGTAGAAAAAACTTATAAAGCTTATCAAAATTTCAATGGTGGTAATGCTGTGTTCACATTACCAGCTGGACCAATTAAATGCGCTGGTGCACCACAAAAGGTTATGTACCTATTTGAAGATTACATGAAAAGGGTAAGAGAATATTCTTGTTTTGATTAAATTGGTATAGTTACTTTCATAATTAACCTTTGTCAGTTGTGTAGTGAAACATTAAATATTTTATCATAGTTTTATGATTCTTTGGAACAAACCAGTTTCTATGCTGCCTCAATAACATCTATCAGACTTCTCTGTCCTCCATGAACATTCTCAATTGATCCACCTAACGAGGTGGAATTCCGGAAGGAACCCTAACTTTTAAAGCTAAATGAGTCACCAGGCCTCGATGACTTACCTCCGGCCCTTTTTAAAGACGGTAATGGATTTCTGATCAGGGAATTGTTTGACCTGTTTGAACAAGTTTTTAAATTATAGTGTGGTGTGTGCTACTTATATTGACATAAGTAGTAGATGATGTTAGTCGTGAACAGAATGTCTGCTAGCAGAGAGACAAGAGGATCGAACAGTAGAACATGGAAACAAATACAATTTGTATGAAAATGCAAGAACAATCAAGTTTGAGTCATTATGAGACAGTTGATGGACATTTTGCAAATTACGTATTTACTATTTGATTGTTAGATTTTATTAACAAATCCTTTAATTTTGTGTCAAATACATCCGATTGTCCCCACTCGTGTCCTGTTCCCTACAATGGTATCATAACGTCCTAAAATGAGGTGATAGTTATCCTTATCTTGAAAAACGGTTTACGTCATCCATGAAACAGCTTTCAAGGGATAAGCCTACTTTCTCAACTTCCCTCTTTTATCTCTTCACAATCTCTTTTTTTTATTATGTAACGCATACTTATTTTAGTTTTTCTTTGTACTAATGTTTAAATGTTTAAATAATGATGATAATTAGGATCTTTTTGATGGTAATGCGGATCTCTGACTCCACAAGTCAGAATCTTATCACATGATATACTTCAATTATGTTTCATTTTGTACGGTTATTTTTTGTATTATATACAGTGAACAGTCATTTTAAAACTACAGAACAGTAGAAAATATGTTCTGAGTATGCAGATTAACATTCCAATATTGGTAGTATAAGAGATAATTACTTTGTAATTTATGCTTTCTTAATTATTGAACTAAATGTGCTTCATATCAAAGTTAGCAATACTAAATGACTACTGAAAATCTTAAGTAACTGAAGTTTGATTCAAAGAGATTCATTATTATGTTCTGGATGTATTCAATAACTAGAGGAATAATAGACTTTAAAATGCTAAGTTACTTATTTACTTACGCTTGTTACTCCCAATGGAGTATAGGCCACCGACCAGCATTCTCCAACCTACTCTGTACTGGGCTTTCCTTTATAGTTCGATCCAATTGTTGTTCATTCTTCTCATGTCTGTCTCCATTCATTGGCATAACGTGCTATTTGGTCTTCCTCTTCTCCTTCGGCTTTGAGGATTACAAGCGAGAGCTTGCCTTGTGACGCAGTCGAGTGCCATCCTCAATGTGTGTCTCATCCACTTCCAGCGCTTCTTCCTGATTTCCTCCGCTGAGATCTGGTTTGTTTTCTCTCATAGTAGGTTGTTGCTAATAGTGTTTGGCCAACGGATCCGAAGTATTTTTCGTAGACAGCTGTTAATAAACAATTGTATCTTCTGGATGATGGCTTTCGTAGTTTTCCAAGTTTCCGCCCTATACAGTAGAACTGTCTTGACATTTGTATTGAAAATTCTGACCTTGGTGTTGGTTGACAGTTGCTTTGAGTTCCATATGTTCTTCAGTTGTGAATATGCTGCTCTTGCTTTACCGATCCGCGCCTTCACATCTACATCAGATTCACCGTGTTCATCAATGATGCTGCCCAGGCATGCAGAGGGAGGAGTATTTATTTATTTATTTATTTGAACACATATATATTGGTACAGGAGTGCTCCAAACATATATGCGCCACACAATTTCAGTTCATTAATTGCGTGTGGGCTGAGTTACTGCCCGGGTGCCCAAACCGAAGCAGGTGGTTCTCTTAGGGGGCCACACCCCGAGCCTTTGACCTAAAGGTCTAACCCACAAGGCAGTGGAGCATCGTAAGGAGATGCAGTCCCATGGTAGCCGGTGACCAACCATTGGTTCATACGCCATTTGTTCCCACAGGATACTGGTGCCCATGTGCACCATTGGTTTGGAATCCGGTTAAAGCGCCGGACATTCGCTTTTCGTCCTCTCATTTTCGTAAACAACACCCCCGCCACGAGAAGGCAGTGAGTAGGACTTCCCTGGCAGAGGCTGTATACGCGCGGCCGTGTGAAAGTATTTCGAGAGGAAGGGCGAACCCACCCCGCTCTCGGGGTGGGAGGGAGGCTGAAGCCCCTCTGGGGCTACTACCGGTCCCAAGCCCGGATAACGGAAGAGGGTTGGGCATGGGATTAGCGACCCCATACCGTAGAAGACTAACTCGTTATAAAAACGCTATCCAGAAAAAAACTGAGTTACGTATACTTAAACTCTATCATAGCAACTACGACTTGGATAGTTCGGGTTTTTCTAAGTTTTACACCATAGCTTTGCTTTGACGTTTAGTACACAAAATTGTAGTTGTTTGGATAACTTTTTTGCATATATTCAAAAAAAGCAATGTACCTTAAAAAGTATCATCTGAATGTAATTAACATTTTGGAAATACATTAGTTACCGGTTCCCTTAAAGAGGAAAAATACTTTGAAAGTGTTGTTGGGATCAGTCAACACTAATACCTTGTTTTGACTGGCCATAGAAAATGCGCATACTAATCCAGTCGATGATCGTTCACTCCCTCATCGATCGTCAATTTTTTGATTGTGGCGATCTAATCAAGTTTGAGAAAGTTTTCCTCATAGACGGAATCTGATTGATAAACAACACGAAAAGCCGGAGAAGTTGAATAGCTATTCTAGTTTAGGACAATTTATGCAATCAACCAACCAACTTAAGTGTCAGAATCCATTATGTTTAATAAAGATAAGCTTGTGAAGTTGTAATATGGATTGATAACGAGTTGATTTTAACTGTGTATCACCGATGAGATTGGATTGTTATTATTACACTTTAACACAAATGTTCTGTAGTGGGAAATGTATAAACGATTAAATAATGATATAAGCGAGTGGATCTTGATACAATAATCAAAACAGATTTCCACTGATGACACTTGAGTAAATATCAAGAATGATTGTTATTCCATAAAATCGTATATATCAGTGTGCCCTAGAATATAAAGTGCAAAAGCTCAGCCATTGATTACGAAAAATATCAATTTTTGTACACACTTTTAAGCACAATACAATGAGTCATCTCATATTTTTCAACTCTGTCTTTGCACGGAGTATTGCCTCCAAATGCCCTGGTACGGCCGAGAGTGCGGAGAGTCCGCTCTCTCTCTCGAAATGCTCTCACATGACCACGCGTATATAGCCTCTGCCAGGAAAGTCCTACTCACCGCCTTCTCGTGGCACTACTGTTGTTTACGAAATTGAGAGGACGAAAAGCGAATGTTCGGCACTTTAACCGGGTTGTTGGACATGGAAAGTTCACCTAGGGTAGTTGCGAAACCTTGATTCCAAATCAATGGTCACATGGGCTCCAGTATCCTGAAGGAACAAATGGCGTATGAACCGATTATTGATCACCGGCTACCATGGAACTGCATCTCCTGACGTTGTTCCACTGCCTTGTGGATCAGATTTTCAGGCCGAAGGTTCCGGGTGTGGCCCCTTAAGAAAACCACCTGCTTCGGTTTGGGCACCCGGACTGTATCACAACCCTCACACAAATCAAATGAGATTTGTTTGGCGCATATGTATTTGGTGCCTCCTTGTACCAATATCTATGTTTTAAAATAAAATAACAATAAAATGCTTATTATTCTTGTGACTTAAAGCAATATTGAGGCCATCCGCACAGGATGCACACATACCAATGATAGACTGATCAATCGCAATCTTAAACATCAATAGGGAGTTCCAAATAACCAATACAAAAATGAATTAATGTTAACTATCTCATTAAATATTATTATCATAAATCAATGTAATTGTGCAAATTCGAATCTCATTGATTATTTCAATTAACTTCCTTAAGATTGCAGATTTATACTGGTTGTTAACGAGTTCATATACTGATAAAAACTGGTTGCTTTGCTACTGAATGCTTACATTACTATAACGAAAGTCTTTATTCATACTGATTAGTTAAAACACTAAGAGAATAGTCATCAATTAGTAACCTAATTAAAGGTGTATCACTGTTTAAAGTATAAGTTGCAGTTTAACAGTTAATGTCAACATCATAATGTAGATAAATCTAATTGACGAGTCTGAAACAGAATGTAATGCCTTCCGTATATATATATATATATATATATATATATATATATATATATATATATATATATAATGATATGTTCAGCCAAACGACATTTTTTCAAAGCTCCATTCTTGGGTGCAACATTTATTGAATACTTCGTGATTTTCAGTGATTGTTTAACTGATATCTTTACTTACTAGCATCAGTGCAACTCCTTATGTATGTAGAGCATTTTCTTTTTCATGTTCGGAGTATAACAGAAGCTTCCCTGAAGCTAGTCGTTGTTGTCCAACCTGCGTCAAATGTGTTTCATTGATTTCAAACACCTCGAAGTTGTATCTCCTCATTTCGGCAGCAATTTCGATGACTCTCTGTGTCTCCCATATTGTACGAGCATTTCATGTATCTAAATTAATGATTGCTCTGGTTGTCACAAGAGGCATCAGTTTCTTGACTTCCGATGGAACTCGGCTTTCACCATGAGGCGTTATAACTCTTCTAAATTAAGACCTTCTAACTCTCAGGGTTGAATTTAGATGGTTTAGATTATTTTTTCTAGTTAACGTTTACTTTAGCAAGTTAGTTTTCTACAAGATGGGATCGCTAACCCTATTACACAACCCTCTACCTTTATCCAGGCTTGAGACCTACAGTAGCCCCAGAAGAGCTCCAGAAGGATTTTACCTACGTATGCCCAACGACCGACTACCTCGACGTGCTATGTTCAGTGGTATAGGAGTAGGTTGGAAGAAAGCTAGGGGTGGCCAAACCAAAACATGGCACAATTCCATGAAGTCACTGACAAGTGGACTGTATCATGTTGGTAGGTGTAGACTACCTGGTTAGGGACCACGAGATGATAGCAACCGATGGTTAGAGACCCTGAATGACATGGCTCAAAATCGTTTGCAATGGCGTAGGTGCATCCACTCTTTGTGTTCTCCCAAATTCTAATCTTCTGAATTCTTCATGTCCTTTTTTTCCTCTTTCCAAATTTATTTCACTGGATTATACTCTTTAAATAACATCTCCAAACCCTAATCTTCCCGATTACTGCTTATACTCTTATTACTTCTACTACTACGGGATTTGAATCGACAACTGCATCTCTGTACTAATGTGGTCAGTCAGTCAGTCAGCTACAACGTAGGACCAGGCACATATGTGCATCAGTCCAGGTTGCCATACCTCATTAGCACAGCAAGATGAACAGTGGATTCATAGGAGTGGTTAGGTCAAAGGTTGCAATAAGGATATAGTATAGGAAGAAAGAATTAGTTCGTAGACAGAAAGAATGAAGTTATTTTAGTCTCTTAGTTTAAGGGAAGACAGGGAGTGTATACACCGACGTCATTGTGATCGATTCCGAGCCATGTCCCCAAGAGTCTCCAACCATGGGTTACGAAAGTCACGCGGACCCCAACCAAGTAGTCTGCATCTACCAACGTGGCTCAGACTAAAAGTTAGTGACTTCAAGCACTGATGCCACGTTTTGGTTTGGCCGCCCCTAACTTTCTTCCAACCATCCCCTACCCCGGTTAGCATTGCACGTCGTGGTAATCGCTGGCATCTTGAACTGATGTACGTACTTACGAAGTTCTACGCTGTTACTGACTGACTGACTACCTGATATCCAATATTTCCTATTATATTTCAATGGGTTTTTTTTGTTTTGTTTTCAAGTTTAAATTTCATTTACCTGATGTTTTCTTCATTCTTTTTTTATTTATAGTCTGGTAAAAAGATTTTGGCAAATATTCATTATTTTACTGCTACTAATAAAATGTTCTCAGTTGATAAATATTCAGAAAATTTAACAGAAATCTGTAAACAACGAAATATCACTTGTAATTTATCATACAATTTAGTTGAAGTAAGTAATTCATTATTGTTTTAATATTACGATATCAGTTGTAATATTTTAAGTTATATATATACAAACAGATACTGACTTAACTATATTTGTTTTCTTTGCCTGTGTACATCCTAACAAGATACTTTATAGCTAGTTATCTATTGATGTTATATAATGCATTCTTTGTGTGTACATTTCAAGGATGAATCTCTTATCTTGAAACTTAATTGTTGATTCGATGTATCAAAATAGCATACTTTTATTCCATAAAGTTTATTTATTTATTTGGACACATGAATATTGGAACGCAAAGGTTCAATCGGAAGAAATCTTTCAGGTAAGGGAGACAGAACCACTTTTTATGAAGAAAGTAAAAGAAGGTTACAGCAGGATTGCCACTGGCTTCTATTCTGAACCATATCTGATAACGTCTCTAGCCACTGTGTAGCACCATCTCTCAGACCCCAACCAGGGAGTCATGAAGGACCAACACAAGCCAGTCCTTTGCAGCTTTCTTTCATGCCACGACTCCATGTCATGCACTGACCACCTCTCCACTTCTTCCAACCAGTCCCAGAGTCGGCAAATAATGCACGACGTGGAATTCTCTGGGACGACATTCGGAGAACATGTCCAAGCCACCGAAGTCGGTGTTTCAAGATGGTGACACCAATTGAATCATCATCTCTGTGCCCGGACACACGATGCCGAACCTCTGCATTACTGACATGGTGTTGCCACTGAATGTCAGCAATCCTTCGAAGACAGCGATGATCGAACACAGAGAGTCGTCTAACGTCCTCAACTCGGAGAGGCCAGGTTTCCCAAACATAGAGCAAGACTGCTCTCACCGACGCGTTGTAGATCCGACCTTTTACGGCCAGACTAACATCATGAAGGCGCCATAGATGGCCCAGATTGGCATAAGCCGCTCTGGCTTTCACTATACGTGCATTGATCTCATCACTCACACCCCCACCAGCACTTATGCAGCTACCCAGATTCACGAACTTCTCGGCTACGTCTATCTGCTCACCATCCAGGGTGAGTATAGGATTGGAATCCTGCCAGTCTTGTAGAAGTACTTTGCACTTCGAAGGTGCAAAGCACATACCATACCTACGGACACTGATTGCCAACTGATTAAGTGCGGATTGCATGCCTTGGGCATTATCGCACAGTAAGACAATATCGTCCGCATACTCAAGGTCGAGAAGTCTTTCTCCAGGCAACAGATCCACACCACCATTACTTACATTCATCAGAGCTGTTTCCAGAATGTCATCGATGGCAAAGCTCAAGAGGAATGGTGATATTGAGCAACCCTGTCCAACTCCACTACTTTAATGGAACAATGGAGAGAGGTGGTTGTATGCCCTCACTCTGCCTGAGGTGTTTGTGTATAGGGTCTTTAGGATGTTAATAAACTTCTCAGGCACACCCTTCTTCAATAGACAATCCCAGAGAACAGTCCTATCCAACGAATCGAAGGCAGCCCTGATGTCAAGAAACACTACGATCATTCCATTAAGACACTGAAAAGCATTCACAATTATCAAAATGCTGTGAATAATGATGCAAGAAAGCGTGGAATGCATTTGTCTCCATCATTGAATGTCAAAGGTTGCTTCTAGGACTGGTCCTTGTCAAGCGTGTGATCACTTTATTTATCCTTGATTTTTTTTACAGGCCTTGATAGATAGGCGAATCACGAAAGTTCGGTAAGAATAGAAAACCTGTGGATGGATCTACCTGTAGGGTAAATGATTGGAAGTACGCTGAGAGGCAATTCATACTGTCTTGCCCAAATACGTGTTACATGGCTTATAAAACTGTAAAACATAGATAAACTATACCTTGCTCATTCATATTGGAACTACCAAGTTAGTAATGTTGGGCTTAGGTATCGAGTTCTAGGTACAAAAGAGCAAGTCGATTGATCATTGAATCCATACAACTAAGACCGGTCACCTTAAAGTCTCGAACCATTAATCAAGATTATCATGCAGTTGTTATCCAAGAATTATATACTATTTCGAGCTGCTCAAGTCAATGGTCAGTAACTTCATAGACTGATATCGTCTTAGGTTTTTTTCGCTCTGAACCTTCTGCTTAATCTTTTACTTTAAATTATCCAGTGACTATGTATGCCTGATACACTTGTCCTTTAACTTCCTCATTCTATCAAAACTCATAACCTTATTAATCACTTTTTATCAGTTCTATTATACTTGACTTCAGCATTACTTACTCAGTGATGTTTATATAATTTATGAACGATTGATTCATTGCATCGTGTAGACTTGTTGGTAAATGTCATTAAAGTATAAGTTGAGAACTTGACCATTGTTTCGCGTAGTTGAACTATTTAACAGGTAATCACTCAGATGTATACTTATATAGTGTTTTAATTAATCCACTTTGGACAGTCAATGAATATCGCGTTAACCGTTACACTTGATTTGTACAACTAAGAATCAAGTACACAAAATTTATGTGCACTTGGTTACTGAGTTCATGAAAATCATATTTTTGATTTTTGATGTCGGTGTACCAACTTAAAGATGGCCAAATCAAAACGTGGCATCAGTCCTTGAAGTCACCAACTTCTGGTCTGATTCATGTTAGTAGATGCAGATTACTTAGCTGGGGTTCACGCGACTATCGTTACCAATGGTTGAATACTCTTGGTGAAATGGCTCAGAATCGATCACAATGGCTTAGGTGTATACACTCTCTGTCTTCCCTTAAACTATGCGATTAAAACTGTTTTATATCTTTCTTTCTACGAACTAAGCCTTTGTTTCTGTACTATGCCCTTATACACAATCTTTCTTTTATATATTACTACCATTGAATTAACTACTTCTATGAATTTGTTCATCTTGTTGTGCTAATGATGTGTAGAAACTTGGACCGATGCATATATGCTCCTGGTCCTACGTTGTAGCTGACTGACTGACTAAAGTTGATTATTTTAAATGAACTGTCAGCTGTCATTTTCAATAATGACGTCTGACATTAGTATTTAATGAATTATTATTTCCATGTAGTCTGATCAATTTCACAAATTCATTTACTGTTGAGTCGCCATTCCGAGAACTTCAACGGAGCCTCCAGAAGCCCTAAAAGAGCCGAAAAGTCCTAGCCAATCAGAGCATGATGGAACTTTCTAGAATATCAGCGTGGCGTGCTACTATTGGTCAGTAGCACAATATGTCTTTTAGAGGATTGGCCAAAATTTGATGTTGATTTAACAGATGTTAACATCTATAAATACCCGTGTTTTTCTGTACAAAAAGGAACCTTTGGAGAAGTGTTTTTCGCTAATTTTCGCCTTTTCTCTCAAGTTCAGGTCGCCACGTAGTTCTAGCTTGCGGGTTACCAGAATAGCTTAGGAACCGAATAAAGCATTCGAATTCGCAAGACTTAACATTTAATCTTCCCGTATTTTATTATCTATGGCTATTTTGTTTTTCCATCTAATACTGTTACTACTGTGGGATTTTTATGAATCATTTCATCTGGCTTTAGTGATACGGTGTTGTAGCAAGTGGGACTGATGCACATGTGTTCAAGATTCTACGTTGTTTATTACTAAATTACTAGTTTGTTTCATCATTATTACTGCTGATAAAGATAAAGTCATTTTAATTATTATCAGTGTTTCTGCGCTCATATTGGTTAATACATTTCTTAAAGATATCAATATACCATGTAAGATTCCTAGCTTAATAGGATGTGTTGATAAATGTTTTATGGTAATCTACAATCGTTTTTATTGTAATTCGCTTGTGAAATGGTTTTGTAGATAATGAGAGCAAGAAGGTTCATTGAATATTGTCAGTGATAACAACATCGCCAAAAATCTTTCGAACTTGCTGGATGACTCACATAAAATAAACACATCTGAAAACTTTTTACTACAGTAAACGTCATATATGAACAATTTAGTCTCATTGGGATATATTGACTATGGGGAAACTTTGGACGGGATAACAATCAAATCGTTATCCCATTTTGTATTACTGATGCTCTTATGCATTGTGTGAATGGTAGACCTTAATTAGTAATTGATTTCTTCGTCATTCAAGGCTTTTCTTTCAGAAGATGATTTATTTCCTAAATCACAACTTAGAGTTAATCGACCTTATATCGTTTGTCGCATTTTGAGATATATCTTGATGGTATTTATGGACCAGAAAGTGGATAAGCTTCTGTTTACTTTCTTCCAGATATCGTATGAGTAAAACTAACATATTCGAGTTTTTTTATGTGAAAAAAGTATTACACAATACTATTTGATTATGATGGAATTTTGTTCTCTGAGCTGAATGGGTTGGTCGTGGTGCTTTCATCGTTCTTCTGAACGACATCATTAACACAAACTCCAGGTAGAAGTGAAGTGTTCAAATATCTCCACATGTGATTCACAGCTTGTCCTGTACACCTCGATGTTGATTGGCACTTGTCGACCTTAAATCCGTCATTGTTTACTTCTTTGTTTTGGTTGTGTCTCCCATTGGTTTTATTTTTGTTCCTATATTTGTGCATGATTTTCCTGATTGGTTGATAAGTTAAATCGATTTCAATGTATTTGTTTATTGTGCTGATGGTGTCGTTCAGAAGAACGATAAAAGCTCCACGACCAAATCATTCAGCTCAGAGAATAAAACTCCATCAAGATCATCCATCTGAGCTAAAAATCTCCACTATTTGATTATAAATAATACTAATCATTTAGGTTTAAGCAACCCTAATAATTTACCACAGTATTTTAAGAGTAATATTACTTCTCCTTGTAACAGTTACCTCAGCAATATTGTTATATACATAGATACCATCGAGTTTAGTATAAAATAGGAAATTTCTGTATCAACTATGTCTATATGAGTTCTTATTTCTCTGGGTTTTTTTTCAGGTAGATTCACAAGCTAGTGAAGCAGTATTTCAACACATGGAAACTAAAGAACTTAAACGAATCAAAGTATGTTGTTAAGTAGAGTTTGGGTGTGTATTACATTTCTTTTTCAACTAAATTATTCAACAATATATTGACCAGTTATAATTCTTATACTAAATATAAACGATGATGTCTGTCTTCTAGCGCTGATTAATTGAAATGAAAATCAGTTAGCCTGTTCCTGCGTGTTGCTGTTTCGAATATGCATTGTCCGAGGCCTTATCATGCTAATAGTTTATAAACAGTGACTAAGACCATGTCTTGTAGATCTCAATCAGTATACCTGGATCTACCAATACTTGTCAGACAAAACATAAATCGACTGTATTATCACCTTTCATCACTACTTACCTGAACTTAACGTTAGCAATGCTCTGTTGAGAATCATGATTGAAGCCAAGGAATTCGCTCATATCTTCATAATTTTTAAGGCTATATCTCTCGGCGATAAATACATAGCTATGTACTCTATGGTTGACAGATTTCCACTCATTGATTTAGCCAGTTTTGTGGTGTATGCTACTTATGTCGAGAGATATAAGTAGTATATGTAACATCCGTGAAAAGTGGAATGTCTGACAGCAAAAGGTTGAGAAGTTCCAGTTGAAGAGAACAGGATTGTAGACAGAGAATAATTACAATAGCAATGAAGGAAAAATGGAATTTACGATAATTGATGAGACATTAGCAAATAAAGCATTTAATGTATGGTTATTTACATTTTACAAAAGAACTTTATTATTGTGCATTGATTAATAAACTGACTGCCCCCATCTGAGTTCTCGTTCACTACAGTTGAACGTTCACTTAATCGATTACCATCAGTTTTACACCTTTAACAATAATTTCACATGTGTTTATTACTTAAATACATACACATGTGACTTTTAATTTTCTGGTAACCGTCTTGGACAAGATATTTTTTTCAAACAAAACACCATTGACGACTAAATAAAAAAAATAGTACAAAATAATAATACGTTTTAATTTCCATAGTAAACAACCTTAAACTATACACGTACAACAATCCCAGTACTAAAGCGTTTTAGGAATTTCAAGGTCACAGTACCAATTTCAGTACCGGATGCTCACGTTCGATCGGTTCACAGCGGAATTTAGAAAAGAAATTATAATTGAGCGCCTACAACAAATGGGACTACTAAAAAGGTCCTTTATTTATGATTGTGGTAATCAAATGACTTGTGAGCTTTGTTCAGACTTACGTTTTGATGTTGTCTTTCTACGATTCCTCTGTATTTCTCACATTTGCTCAGATCTCCTTTCTTTGGTATCTTGATGAGGTGCTTTCTTTCCAGTCCATCTGCTCTTGTTCTTCTCCCAAGATCTGCCTGAATAGAATGTGAAGCGTGTTTGTGGTTACTTCTATGTCTGGCTTCAAAGTTTCCGCTGCTTTTTCGCTCCTGATTTGCTTGGTAGTCATCCTGATTTCTTCTACCTCCGTGAAGTGACATCTATTGAAAGGTTTATGTGCGCTGCTTCGATGTCCGTTGGATTCACTGGAGCTGGTCCATTCAAGAGTTCCTCCAAGTATCCCACCCATTTGGTCCTCTGTTCTTGGGTCTCGGTTTTTTTGACCGGTCTCTCTGGTTTATTATATCTCTCTGACAGTTTCTTCGTCGTGTCATATGGTTGTTTCACATTTCCTTCTCTTATATTTTTTTCCGCTGTCGTCGTTAGCTCTTCCACGTTTTTCTGCTTGTCAGTTCTAACGCTCCTCTTCTACCTTGAATTTCACTGCACTTGTTCGGCTGTTGTTAATTGCTGTCTTCTTGGTCGTCTTTTCTTGAAGTGTGTGCTGGGTTTCCATTCCTTATGATGATGCTTGTTACTGCACAGAACCTCGTGACACGTTAAAATTAGCGCTTCTTTCATTATTTCCGGTTGTCCTTTATAGTGGTTTCTCCATTCAGTAGATCCTGTAAGGCTTGGAACCGGTTATTGAGAGTCTTCTCGAATTCGTTGTGTCTGTCAGTATCTCGAAGGAAGGATGTATTCAACCTTTTTAATGCTGTTTGTCCAGTTGTCCAATGCTTCTTTAGCTTCAGTTTCATCTTGGCCACAACCAGGTGGTTATCTTTAGTTATGTCACTCCCTCTCCTGGTTCTCACATCTTCCATTGACCTTGTGAATGTTTCCCTGATTCAAACAAAATTTATCTTGTTCTTCGTCGTTTGGTCCGGTGAGATCCATGTATCTTTGTGAATGCGTTTGTGTGGGAATATTGTACAACCTATAACCAACTTAATGAATGCACGTAGATTTGCAAATTCACCGTCTACGGGAGTTGGAAAATCCTCATTCCAAACCAATGGTGCACATGAGCTCCAGGAACTTGAGGGGACAAATGGCGTATGAACCAATTATCGGTCACTGGCTATCATGGAACTTCATCTCCGGACGTTGTTCCGCCCCCTTGTGGATTAGACGTTTATTTCCGGACAGTATCCCAGCCCACACACAAATCAAGTGACTAGTGTGGTACTTATGTATTCGGTGCCCCTTCGTACCAATATTTATGTTTCAAATAAATAAATGATTCCAAAGTCACATTTATCAGCGTTAAAATTCAATCATTTACGTTTAGTTTTTATCGTGAATTACTTACTCTATGTCAATTAACTAGGTCACAATTTGTTTACATTAACAAGTAATATAATTATTCATTAATTCATTCTAAACCATGTCACACATCGTTTCTGACTATTGGTTAGAAAAATGACACGGAGCCTAATCATGTAGTCTACGTCTACCAAAATATAATATTGAATAAAGCCATTAATAATAACAATAATAATAATAATAGTAATAATTGCTCAGTTCAACAGTCTTTGTCTGCATGAACTAATTCTATGCCGGTATAGGCAAGTTTGTAGTCTCAAAATACATCAGCGATGCTTCGAATACATCTTTGATCGAATACTAGTAACTTGCGAATATACTTATTAAGAGCACGTTTCACAGTTGTAAAGTAAATCCGGAAGGACTTCCGCTTAGCGAACTAGTCTTTCGAATCGCAAGTGAATATCTCGCTTACTCTGAAAATAAGCGATGCTACAAACTCTAACCGGAGTTCCCAAATCTCTGTCAACATTTCGTCAGGCACCAGCCCACTGGGATTGATGAAACTCCTGAGGTAAGTAAAGCGGTCAACGCACTCAACTACTTTACTCATTGTCGTTGATTCAGGCAGTGCCGCAGGCCGAAGCAAGATTGCTTTCATCGTTCCTTCAGGAGGTCAAAAAACTGTATTTTGTCTCCGTCTTCACCAATCGTGACCGTGTCATCTGCGTATTATTAGTCAGCAAGTGAATCTCCTGGTAGGATATCAATCCCTGGAAAGTCAGACAGTATTTTTAAAATAATATGTATGACAAATATAAATAAAAATGAGTAAAGCGGACAACCATGACGAACAGCACTTGAGGTAACAACTTTCGTACTAGTCCTCTCCAATCTCTGACTCGATCAGTAGTGTTCAAGTAGAGAGCTCATTCAAAGAAATGTACTGTTTTATATATCATGATAACTGAATTCAACTACATTTGTTGGAACATGTGTTCCTTAAGATTTCACCGTAATAGGCAGGTCAATCGGAAAGCTGTAATACTAAAAACAGTAAACTAAAGATCTGACAGTGAGATCTTACTGCCAGTTGTAATGAATTGTGATGGCATTAAAGTGCTTTCCTCAAACAGTCAACATTTTTGTGACACTGCTTTCCAACAATAAGAAGAAAGGGTTAGTAAAGGTTGAGCCTAATAGTAACTTACGTCGTCTTCTCTTACCGGCAATGAAATCACAAAACTACAGGGCTATCGTAACAAAACAACCTAAAGAAGCACCATTTGTGACTGTTCTCAAACAGTTATCACTTGAGCTCTATAATCACACACCCAAATCATGAAAAGTTACCAGTAACCGATCCTTAGTTTTTACAAAGATAAGTGCCTTAAAAGCAAACATTCGTACTATATTGAAAATAAACTTCAGTCAAATTCATTCAACAATAAGTCATCGGTAAGTCGAATCCCGCTTAATTAACAGATTTTTTCACTAGGACATTTAGCCATGTCAGTTATCTGCTTACTGAAATCATTCCTCTTAATAGATGTATTATTGAGTAATTAGGTTACAAATTAACATGTGATGCTGTTAATTGACTACAATTGATCAGTACCTTTTAGTGTATGGTCTTCCCGATTAAATTGTCTCGATATTAGTACTGAATGATAAGTTTTAATTAAAGTTATATGGCGGTTGGAAGAGGAAAACAGAGATAGGCATTTCGTCCTATTCAGAACTGGTCAGGTGGGTGTACTTGCACCCCAGTTTCATTGGACACATTTACACTTGAACTCAGTACTTTTCACTTCAAACGCGATTGCGTTATTCACTGAGTCCCACTGTAACCATCCATACTGGTACATTTAGTTGATGTGTTCCAAATAATGTGAAATTCCTATGCTATATTCCAATGTTAGCCATTATTCCAACTTTACCGTGTGATAAATATTTTTAGTTTTGATAGATGAGAATTTTACTTCTCACTCGCTGATCAATTATTGTCTTTTAATATTCCAGCGACTCATTTAGTTTTATAAGATGTTCGAAAAGAATGTAACATGAACCAAATCTTATAAATTGTTGACTCATGTATTGTCGTATGTAGTATATTCTTTTGATCATATGATGGTACACTTGGTCACCGCAAACTTAAAACTCATTCTGATCAAACAGAGTTACTACAAGCTTATTATTTACGCATATCAAATACTACTACTAATAATAATACTTCATTTTGACTTTTTTAAATTACCAACATTCCACAAGTTCTTTCTATCGTTGAGGAAGCGTTATCATCAAGAAATATCTCAATATCATTTCATTTTGTTGTTATTGTTTTGTCTATTTTGCAGTATGACTTTTTACATATCACTCCACCAATGTGTTGTCCGGAAATTTTAACTAAAACACCAAAATTAACTAATCCAAAAGCATCTGATTATGTAGATGTCAATGTGAAAACATTACGACATAATCATTATGATAATATATTTGCCCTTGGCGATTGTGCTGCATTGCCCACATCGAAAACTGCTGCAGCTGTAGGTAAGTTAATAATATTATTATGTTGAATGCCAACAACCAAAATCACATGACAAATCACTGATCGAAATCCCGATTCTAATTTGGTCTATTTCGCGTTGACTAATTACTCTATGACTTAATGTTGCTGAATGGACCAATTTTACATCCAAACAGCATTATTAACTTCAAGTCAACAGCTAAGTTCTTATTGGTCCACCTGTCTCCAGCTTCACTCACTCTCTCTGTGACTCGCCTTTAATTTCAGAAATCAGCAACCAGCTTTTGTTATATTTCAAGCGAATGTAGTTTATATACAAGCAGACCAGACCTCATCACACTGTGAAATGAAAAATAACAATCATGCATAATCAACTCAAAAAGTGTTTGTAACTAAGGGAGACTAAATAACAAACTGATCCGTCAACTTAATCTAAACTTCATAATGCTGTAAATTATTCTAATATTAATATGGAGCTCTGTGAAGCATTGAATTAAGAAAGTACTAAACACGTTATGATTCAAACATAACATCACTATGTAAATTCATCTCCTGTTAAAATGATTCATATCATGATAGATATAAGCTTCATGATTGTGGAATATTCAACATAGTCGTTTGTAAATGATCAGATAACTCACATTTTCATTTTCTCATTCAATGTTTTCTACATAATCCGACAGGGCTGTCCACTCTCTCCATTGCTGTTTAAATTTTTCGTTGATATTCCTCATCTAAATTCCCAGAGGTTGAACTTTTTCCGGGAGATTCATTTGTTGACGATGATGTTGCCGATGACGTAGTTCTATTTGGTGAAGACGCTGACGAAATTCAAAGTCTTCTGACCACTATAAGCAACAATCATGCATGTTCGGGACGCGATTTTCCCCCGAGAAATGCAAAATGTTGCTTCAGGATTGGGTTGCATCGATACGTGAACTAATGATAAGGAGTGAAGTACTTGAGCATGTAGATCTTGCAAGTCTCATTAGCCCTTGTGGTCTGGTGTGTGACGAAATCTCAGCACGGATACAGAAGGCTCGACTAGCTTTTGCCATTTTGCGTCATTTATGGCGTAGCCCAGATATCCGTCTACCAAAGTAAGCATGCGTTTACTGCTCAGCAGTTCGTTCCGTCCTACTTTATGGCATCGAAACATGGCCGGTAAGAGTACAGAATATTCGTAGGTTACTAGTATTTGATGACAGGTGTCTTCGAAGCATTACTCGTGTATCCTGTGAACTCCGAGTACGTAATTAAGTTGTTAGGAAACGGGTACTAGGTAAGGATGGCAAATCAGTTGATAAGGTATTGAAACTATATCAGTTAAGATGGCTGGGACACGTGTTATCAGAAACATTCTCAATCACAATTGATTGATCAATGGATGATGATCAATGTCATGTGTGTCATGTCCTTCTTGGTGCAGATCGAATGTTATCAACCAAGTTGCAATTTGGTCACATTGCGTGCACTATGTTGAGATTAGATGGTGGTTGGAGGGTTTCCTGTTGACTACCTCCCACCACCATCTAATTTCAACATTTCCAATGTTTGTTTAATGTCTTCACATAGAGTATATTTGGATATTTTCGTAAACATTTTTATACGTGATTGTTACGTAATAATGTGTAATGTTCATTAAGAATTTCGTTTCATGGTCTAAGGTTTACTTAGCCTTATGTTTTTCACCCGATAAATAAGATAGCAACAACATTAAATATGTTTTTTTTACAGACGTTCTTGAATAACTCTATGTATTTTAAAGGGAAGTATTTAATGAATATTACATTCTAGTATACAGAACTTACTAACTAAATGTCCTGGTAAGGTCGAAAGTGGAGAGAGTCAGCTCTCCCTCTTCAAATGCTCTCACATGACCACGTACATACAACCACTGTGAGGGAATTTCAACTCACTGCCTTCTCGTGGCGGGGGTATTTACGAAATTGACAGAAAGAAAATTGAATTTCCGGTGCTTTAACCAGGTTAGTGGAAATGAAGGTTCCACATAAGGAAGTTACTTACTTACTTACTTACACCTGTTACTCCTCGTGAAGGAGCATAGGTCGCTCACCAGCATTCTCCATCCAACCCTGTCCTGGGCAATCCTTTCCAGCTCCTTCCAGTTGTAATTCGTCCTTTTCAAATCTGCTTCTATTATCCGACGTAATGTGTTCTTTGGCCTTCCTCTTTTCCGCTTCCCTTCAGGATTCCAAGTTAGAGCTTGCCTCGTGATGCAGTTTGACGATTTGCGTAATGTATGTCCTATCCATTTCCATCGTCTTTTCCTAATTTCCTCTTCAGCTGGAAGTTGGTTTGTTCTCTCCCACAGAAGGCTATTGCTGATGGTATCCGGCCAATGGATGTTGAGTATCTTGCGTAGACAGCTATTTATAAATACTTGTACTTTCTTGATTGTGGTTGTTGTAGTTCTCCAAGTTTCAGCTCCATACAGTAGAATTGCCTTGACGTTCGTATTGAAGATTCTCACTTTGATATTGGTTGAAAGTTGTTTTGAGTTCCATATGTTCTTCAATTGTAGGAATGCGACCCTTGCTTTGCCGATCCTCGCCTTTACGTCTGCATCTGAGCCTCCTTGTTCATCGATGATGCTTCCCAGGTATGTGAAGGATTCTACATCTTCCAGAGTTTCGCCATCAAGAGTGATTGGATTGCTGTTCTCCGCTTTGAATTTGAGGACCTTGGTTTTCCCTTTGTGTATGCTGAGGCCTACTGATGCAGAGACTGCTGCTACACTGGCTGTCTTCATCTGCATCTGTTCGTGTGTACGTGATAGAAGGGCTAGGTCATCTGCGAAGTCCAAATCGTCTAATTGATTCTGAGCTGTCCATTGTATTCCGTGTTTTCCTTCAGATGTTGAGGTCTTCATAATCCAGTCGACCACCATAAGAAAAAGGAAGGGGGAGAGTAAACAGCCTTGTCTGACTCCGGTCCTTACTTGGAATGCATCCGTCAGCTGTCCTCCATGCACTACTTTGCACTGTAGTCCGTCGTATGAGTTCCGGATTATATTGACAATCTTCTCAGGAATTCCGTAGTGTCGAAGAAGTTTCCATAACGTCCTCCTGTCTACACTGTCGAATGCCTTTTCATAATCAATGAAGTTGATGTATAATGATGAGTTCCACTCAACTGATTGTTCGACGATGATCCGTAGTGTTGCAATTTGGTCTGTGCACGACCGATCCTTTCGGAATCCAGCTTTTTGATCTCGAAGTTGGGCATCTACTGCATCCTTCATCCGGTTCAGCAACACTCTGTTGAAGACTTTCCCTGGTATTGACAGTAGTGTAATGCCTCTGTAGTTTTCACATTTGCTCAGATCTCCTTTCTTTGGAATCTTGACGAGGTGTCCTTCTTTCCAGTCCATTGGCACTTGTTCCTCCTCCCAAATCTTTTTGAATAGAAGGTAAAGCATGCTTGTAGTTACTTCGATGTCTGACTTCAGTGCTTCAGCTGGTATGTTGTCGGGTCCTGCTGCTTTCCCGTTCTTGATTTGTCTGACGGCCATTCTAATTTCTTCCATCGTTGGTGGGTTGACATCTATAGGAAGATCTGTGTGTGCTGCTTCGATGTCCGGTGGATTCATTGGAGCCGGCCTATTCAGGAGTTCCTCGAAGTATTCTACCCATCTGTTTCGCTGTTGTTGAATTTCAGTGATTGGCTTGCCTTCTTTGTCTTTGACCGGCCTCTCTGGTTTACTGTATTTCCCTGATAGTTTCTTCGTTGTATCGTAGAGCTGTTTCATATTTCCTTCTCTAGCAGCTTTTTCTGCCGTCGTTGCTAATTCTTCCACGTATTTCTTCTTGTCGGCTCTAATGCTCCTCTTCACTTGCTTGTTTGCTTCTATGTATTCAGCTTGTGCTTGGACTTTCTCTGCTCGTGTTCGGCTGTTGTTAATTGCTGTCTTCTTGTTCTTCCTTTCTTTGATCTTGTCCAGTGTTTCTGTAGAGATCCATTCCTTATGATGGTGTTTCTTTAGGCCCAGAACCTCTTGACACGTTGAAGTCAATGTTTCTTTGATGCCTTTCCAGTTGTCCTCCATGGTAGTTTCTTCTTCCTTCAGTAGATCTTGAAAGGCTTGGAACCTGTTGTTGAGAGCTATCTTGAATTCATTGAGTTTGTCAGTATCTCGAAGGAAGCCTGTATTGAACCTTTGTATTGCTGTTTGTCCACTTGTCCAGTACTTTTTTAGCTTCAGTTTTAAATTGGCTACAACTAGGTGGTGATCTGAAGCTACGTCAGCACCTCTCCTGGTTCTCACATCTTCCATTGTCCTTCGGAATTTTTGTTGATGCAAATATGATCTATTTGGTTCTCTGTAGTGTGGTCCGGTGAGATCCATGTAGCCTTGTGTATACGTTTGTGTGGAAATATTGTGCCTCCTATGACTAATTTGTTGAATGCACACAAATTTGCAAATCTTTCTCCATTTTCGTTCCTCTCTCCCAGTCCATGTCGTCCCATAGTATCTTCATATCCAGTGTTGTCTATTCCGACTTTGGCATTGAGATCTCCCATTAAAATGGTGAGGTCCTTTCTTGAGCATTTCTCTATGATTGACTGCAGCCGCTCGTAGAATTGATCTTTAATGTCGTCGTTGCTATCATTGGTGGGTGCATAACATTGGATAATATTCATTAAGATCCCCTCCTTCTTTGTTTTGAATGATGCTTTGATGATTCTGGATCCGTGGGATTCCCAACCTACAAGTGCATTTCGTGCTACTTTGGACAGCATTAGAGCAACTCCCTGAGTGTGTGGAGCATTTTCCTCTTCGTGACCGGAGTATAGCAGCATCTCTCCCGTAGCTAGCCTTTTCTGTCCAGCTTGGGTCCAGTGGGTTTCGCTGATTCCCAGTACTGCCAAGTTGTATCTCCTCATTTCCATTGATATTTGACTGGTCTTCCCGGTTTCCCACATTGTTCGAACGTTCCATGTACCTATAAAAATTTTTGCTCTGGTTGTTAGAAGGGGCATCGGCCTCGTGGCTTCCGAAGGAACTCGGCTTTCACCATGAAGCGTCATAATTCTTCTAAATGAAGACCTTCCAACTCTCAGGGCAGAGTTAAAATGGTTTGAATTATTTTTTCTGGTAAGCGTTTTTTTAGCGAGTTAATTTTCTACGGGATGGGGACGCTAACCCCATGCCCAACCCTCCTCCTTTACCCGGGCTTGGGACCGGCAGTAACTCTAGAAGAGCTACAGGCGGAGTTACATAAGGAAGTGGCGCATATATATTTGGTGCCCTCTTGTACCAATATTTATGTGTTCAAATAAAATAAATAAAAACAGGTTGGAAAACCCTCATTGCAAACCATTGGTGCACATGAGCTTCAGAACCTGAGGGAACAAACGACGTATGAACCAATTATTAGTCACCGGCTATCATAGAACAGCATCTCCTAACGTTGTTCCGCTCCCTTGTGGATTAGACCTTTAGGTCTAAGAATACGGATGTGGCCCCTCAAGGAAACCACTTGCTTCGGTTTGGGAACTTGAGCCGAATCATAGCCCATACACAAATCAAGTGACTTGTGTGGCATATATGTATTCGGTGCCCCTTTGTACCAATATTCATGAGTTGAAACAACCATGTTTAGTTATCCGAATTGATCATAGCTCGATAGATGCATTCGCTCAATCTGTTTTTCCTCTTTAAATCTTATTCTCGTGTATTCCTCCACATACATCTTTCCATTTCATCTTCTCACGTCATATTCTGTAGTTTATATCTTTCTTGTCATCATTTAACGTAGAATTATAGCGATCTTTTTGCAAATCATCGTTTTAATTTGGTTTTATTATTACTGATTTAGTTATGACAAGTTAGTCTAATGTATATTTGTCCGTATATTTGTACGTTGATTATATTTGATTAATTATTCATTTAGAAATCATCATTATTCGTATTATCAGATTGGGGGTTTGTGGATGTTGTAGAGATTTTAATAGTTGAATTCATGAGTTGATCTAGGCTAGACGACCACTGAATACCTAAAAGCACTGAACGTCCATTTCGTCTTAGTATGGGACTTCTGAGTTCGAGACCCGCGTGTAAGGTCTTAGATGCACACAACTGAGCAGTCATATACTGGGACGTAACAGCTATCCAGTTCTTCAAGGTTTCTACTAATGGTCCAGCTTAAATCAACTCATGAATTGAACTATTAAAATTATTCATATTATCTATTTAATTTTACTAGGCAACTATGAGCTTTATCAACATGTTTCATGCTTTGTATTATTTTAACAACAACAACAACTGGTGCTTTATAATCATTACATGAACAGTATTAGTAAATCAATGAATTATTTCAGTTTGCTTCACTATAGACAAGTTTGTTTCTTTTTTTCATGAAGCGTTTTGTTATTGAAAAATAAAATCAGTATCAGATTTATTGATTGTATAACGTGTATAGTCTACGTTACCTAATGAAGGTATGTAGAAAGATTAGAACATTCATTACTTAAATCCATATATATATATATGCTTAATTTACCAATCATATTATTGCTATTTTGGCCACTTTATTAATGAATTTACGTTATTGTCAAAAAAGATAATCACTTGATGACACTCCGTTGAAAGTAGAATAATCGAAGGTGTTATTTTGATGGGATTGTTGTGTGTGTGTTTCGGGTAGATTTTACTAAATTCACTCATGGTATTTGAAGTAGTTTGGTGTTTTTATTATTTCAAATTGTTGGATAAGAGAAAGTAAACTTTCATTTTATGATTGAGCAATGTTGAAAATTTAGGGGCACTGAACAGCCGTTTCAACCCTAATGGGACTCTTCAACAGAGCGTGTGTACGAACCAAAAACCTTGATTCGAACTCAAGACCACTGGTCTCACGTGCGACAGTATTGATGTCTAACATTAATCAATACACGATGTTACGTAACGATCTTCTATCATTTGTGGTGAGTAACTGTCTCACACAAGAAATGTTTAAACTGCTCTGGTCGTCGCTTCTCTCTAAAGCTCTAGAAATTTCACCTAGAAGTTAAGCAGTTGTGAACGTACGATTATTTTCAGTGTAAAGTTTCTATTGGGGATTCCGCTTTAGTCAGTGATCTAAGCGCTACGCGTTTGCGTGCGTGCCAGAATGTCTTGGGATCGATTCCCGGCTGCGTAGTCATATATATGTGTTTAAACATACTTGTTTATCATTCTCATTCTATTAGCTTGTGACTTACAATCTCTCGATTGCTATCCTTAGTGTAAATCAATATACGACTGTAAGATCATTTGAGCTATTGTGTTCGTTCTGGAAAACGTCATCGACGCTTACTTTTACATGCAAACTGTCTAGTTCAGAAAGCAATATCCTCTACAATTTCAAAAATTTAAGGGTAATTGTTTTTTATTTCATAATGTTTGTTCGGATCCTTTTGAGCTAATAGCATTATCCACTTTGTTACCACTTAACTCTCATAGAAAATAAATTTTAACCACTTCTGATATAGTTCTCTGTAACCTTCTTCTTTTTGAACAAGAGTCGTATGTCAAGTACATCATTCATTCACTCCAAAAAGTAGACAATTTGATATACTTAGATTTACCAACTAATTGTGGTTAGTGTCTTTTATTGGGTTTTTTTCTCTTATCTCTGTTACTAACTGTTAATCCAACTTCTTTATCAATCATAGAGCCTAATGATACAATCATAGAATTCAGATCAAAGTAGAGGTGTTAAGAGAGTAGATTCGAATCGGTTACTGAAAAGTTTAAAACTCAAATCTTTTCTACAAATAACCTGCTTTTTTTCATACACCTGATTCATTACAATGAAATGTATCTTTGTTCATTTTAAGTGCCTAAGTACATGAAAACGTATCAATTATATCAATTACCATCTACTGTGAATACGTTGAGACTATAATAGAATAACCTTTAAAGCTACTTTTGTGAGGTGATCCGCACAGGATGCACATATGCCAACATGAGACTGATCAATCGCAGTCCGAAATAACAATGGGAAGATACAAGTAAAACAACACCAAGTGAAGTTAAACTTCACCCCATTGCATAACCAGGTGGCTACCAGGACTCTGTAGCTAAGTGGATAACGCGATAGCGTTTGTATACGGACGGTACTGGGTTCGAATATAGGAGTGAACAGCAACTTTGGGATGCATGTACGTCCAGCTGACGAGTCCAAAAACAGGACGAAACGCGCATCCTGGATTCCACTGCGAGCCACTATCCATCTTTGCTTAAAAAAGTGCCTTATAACTACATCGAGGCAATCCGCACAGGATGCACATATGCCAATGTGAGACTAATCAGTTACAGTCCTAAACGGCAATGGGAAGATACAAGTAAAACAACATCATGTGAATTTTTACTTTTGTGAAATCTTAAACATTTTAGTAACCGACACCAATCATTTATTCAATAATCGATATTTATATTAAAGGTCTCGTTTTTTTGGAGTACACAGCTTGAATGTGTCATAACCTGTATATACCGTCTACGTTTTGGTCACAATTTATTCATTACTTGTATTGATTGATTTATCTTTTTTATATATATTTATGTATGTGTGTTATTTTCTATTTATATGCAACTTACAACCCGATACATGCTCATTGATTTAAGTTGCCACAGCGAAACAAAATTATGCAAGTAAATTCTAGAGTATTAGAAGTAGTAATGGTATCAGTAGTAGTCGAGACCATTCGACATAGAAAAATGAAAAAAAGGTAATAAGGAAATTTCGGAACTCAGGACCTTGGGGAAATTAAAGACTGAATGTCCCTGCGCTAGTATAAATGATTCTGATCCATGTCACCCAAAGTTTCTAACCATTGGTTACGATAGTTTCACTAACCGTAACTGGCTTACTACACCCACTTGCATGAGCCAGAATAACAGTTAATGACATCATGGAATAATACCATGGTTTTGCCGCCCGCACAACAAACCACTGTGCGATCCTCGGTAGACGGAGATTGGGGATATGAAACACTTGTTCTAACCACATCAGTTGATAAAGAGTTATTTCACAAAACATTTTGTTATCTTCACACAATACTCCATGCCTGGCGTCAGTATAACTCACTTATTGGTGCTGAAATATACGACCGTTCGTTCAAAGTCTTAGATAGCATCTAGAAGCTGGACCTGATCACATCTGACTGGTCTCGATCTCTGATCGTCTCAGTTTACAAGAATGGACAAAAATCCTATGTTGATAATGACAAAGGAATTCTTTCAAATAATATAATCCCTAAAATATTAGCCTCAATAATATTTCGACGTCTAATTGGGGCTTGTGACGAGCAAACTACAGAAAACCAAGCTGGTTTTAGACGTGAATGTTTAGACCAAATATTCACCCTTCGGTATGTCCCGGAACGGAGACATACTTTTCGACATCCGACAATATTTGTATTCCTCGACTTTAAGGTGGCGTTTGACACCTTTGATCATGAAGTTCTGTGGTAGTTTCTGTCATTGAAAGGCGTACCAAAGAAGTACATTCACGTTGTACAGACTCTACTCGTAAATTAGAGGCCAAGTAACAGCTTATGGTGAATTTTCATTAGAATTAATCACTTCTAGTGGTGTCCGTCAAACTTGTCCACTTTCCAAATTTTTATTTAACTCTGTCATAGATATGCTTTCAGAGATAACACTCATGATCTTAATTTTCAGGTTATGATCTACCAAGAGATTCACTTGTTGAATTCGAACACACAGATGATATAGTTATGTTTGGTTTAGACGGTGACGAAATGCATGGCTTTTTACCACGTTAGGCACGAGTGCAAGCATGTATGGGATACGATCCTCTCACTTCAAACACAAAATGATGCTCCATTATTGACCTGCGTCAGTGCCTATGGGATTCGCCTTAATAATTTCGTCTCTCTGAGCGAATGGCGTATGACAACTTTCAATAATGTTCATACATATGAGGTTAAATTTTGCTACCGACTGACTGTTTGAAGACACCTTTGTTCAAATACGAATATCCGTTACTCATCTATATGTGTATAAATTTGATTGAACAATTAGTGTAAATTACTAGTATAGGGGTTGTGGAGATTATTAAGTTTTTGATTGAGATAATAAACCGATTGATGTTAGACCACCTTTGGAAACCAGGAAGCACTGAACGGCCGTTTCGTCCTATTGCGGGACTCCTCAGCAGTGCGCATCCACCGTCCCGCTCGTGAGACCGAAGGCCTTGGGTTCGAATCCCGCGAGCGGGACCGTGGATGCGCACTGCTGAGGGGTCTCGCAATAGGACGAAACGGCCGTTCAGTGCTTCCTGGTTCCCAAAGATGGTCTAACATCAATCGGTTCATGATCTCAATAAAAAAATTAGCGTAAAACCTGATGACAGTCTAGGCACAGACAATGTTGTTCACTAATGTCATATTCGATTTGGTATTCAATCAGTTCTACCCTACTGAAAGACAACTGTTATCATATTAATCATGCATTACACATAAATTGAGTAAATTCATTCTTTTATGATACATTATTTATAGCTGGTCAGGTGGGAACATTAGAAAAGAATATCTGTGATATTATTAATGGTGGTCAAGGAAATGTCTCTGAAGTGAGTGTTTATACTTCTTTTTGTGATTTTCAATGTCTGATATTTGTTTGAGTCATTTTACTTACGTAGTTACTTACGCCTGTTACTCCCAGTGAAGCATAGGCCACTGACTAGCATTATCTAACTCACTCCGTACTGGGCCTTCATTCCTTGTTCGATCCAATTGTTGTTCATTCTTCTCATATCTGCCTCCGTTTCTCGGCGTAATGTGCTATTTGGTCTTCCTTTCCTCCCTCGACCTTGAGGATTCCAAGTGAGAGCTTGCCTTGTGACGCAGTTGAGTGCCTTCCTCAATATGTGTCCCATCCACTTCCAGCGCTTTTTCCTGATTTCCTCCTCCGCTGAGATCTGGTTTGTTCTCTCCCATAGTAGGTTGTTGCGGATAATGTCTGGCCAACGGATCCGAAGTATTTTTCGTAGACAACTGTTAATAAACACTTGTATCTTCTGGATAATGGCTTTCGTAGTTCTCCAGGTTTCTGCCCCATACAGTAGAACCATCTTGACATTTGTACTGAGAATTCTAACTCTAGTGTTGATGGACAGTTGGTTTGAGTTTTTAGTTTTAAATATGCTGCTCTTGTTTTGCCTATCCGCGCCGTCACATCTACATCAGATCCACCGTGTTCATCAATAATGAGTCACTTTATCTAATGTTAACACGTTCGTCATGAGATTTAAAGGTGTTTGGTCTAATGCTTAATGGGTATATAGTTTTATTTGGGCACAAATCAAGTATCCACTACTACTGGTTCTTGGTTTTTATTTGTTTCTTAGTAGATATTCAATAGTAATGAACATCAATCAACCCCATTCTTTATAAACTCTCTAATGTAGTTAATAAGATAGAAAAAATGGACAAATATTTGAAAGTAAAATTTACAGTGATATTCGAGTCAAAGTATTTTCAATGTACATTTGTCAAAAATATGTAATTCATAATTATCTACTGCATAATGCCAATTGAATTCAAAGAAGCAAATATTTCAACCATTTGAAATGATATACTGGGAAATTTTAGGGATATGATCTCTGTTTTTCTGAGAACAATTCAGAATCGTAAATCTTCCAATCTCATAAATGTAGTCTAGTGAACCGTTAAGTAGTGTTGATTATGACTAATTGCTGTTACTGATGGTGTCCAAAATCTGATATTGATATATGGTGTGTTACGCTCTAATCCTCTAACTAACTACTTGAGCGAGAACACAAGAGTGACAGAGAAAGTGTATTAGACTACTGAATAAAATGAACAAATACTCATTCATACATATACGATTCTATCCTTATAAAATTGACCCCAATAAAATGCACTTGACCTTTGTGTCACTTTTGATTGCCATCGATTGACTTTCTCATTAGGCTATTTCTGATTGGCTCTCCATATCACTAATTCAAATTGACTTATTTCGTGAAACCTCAATGATTTCTCTTGAGATGTTGAAAAATATTTGTTGCTGAAGATGAGTGTTTTGATGGTGTTTTATTCTCTGATTTTTCTATTCTAATTGTCACAGCTGCTTATCTTTTGATGGCGAGACCTCACACTGTGTTATCTTGAATTGATGAACTCATTGTTATATCTGATGTTTTCAACTTCTATTTAATCGTCTTGTCAGCTGGAATCAACTTTTAATTCATTTAACCTCATCTTGGTGCTTACTAGAATGCGTAAATGATAATCCACCCTTTTATCCTTTCAATGTACGTGCTTTTGCACATACATTTAGTGCAGTTGAATATAGTCTGACATGAGTTATTCAATATAGAATTAACATATGTTTTTCACTCATAAGTCAGTTGAATCTTGCAAATTATTGTCCACACAAACACAAATCAAGTATTCTGTTCATACATCAATAGTATTCACTATATTCATTTCATAATAGTCAACGCCTATATCGTTTAGCAATGATTATTGATGCATTGATAAGTTGTCGAGAACGAAATCAGACTATGTGCCAACTGCCCGGCTGGGGTGTGCACAATTATTATGACCAACGATTAAACAACTTAACGGACATGGCCTTAGAATCGGTCTCAATGGTGTAGATTCATTCTCTATTTACCTTTGTATTCAGCGAGTTCCTTCTCCAATAATATTGGATGTCTATTGTTTTCTACTACTATTAATACTGTTATCACTTACACTGCTATGATGTTTGACGTGATGATATTTCCCTTGTTGTGTTAATAAGGTGATGGGTATTGGAAACGTGAACTAATGCACATATGTAAAAGATTCTACATTACTTTCGACTGACTGACTGACTAACGTTCATATTATCCTCCTTTTATTTATTCCACTTTTCAGTATGACGGATATACAGCTTGTCCTATAGTTACAGGTTATAATCGTGGTATTATAGCGGAATTTGATTATAGAGCTAAACCATTAGAAACATTGCCTATTGATCAAGGGAAAGAACGTTATTTATTCTATTTTACAAAAACATACCTCCTACCACCACTTTATTGGGATGGACTTTTAAGGTGAGTTTACATTGGTATTTATTTAACTGTAATTTACACCTCTCTTCTATTTTAGTAATATTTATGTCTTATAACTTAATATTATGTAACATACTAAACATAAGACGAGGTTGAGTTCTGTTAGAGATATATTAATGGATATTAGGTTTCATGTCTTCCACAAAGTGAGAAGATATTTCATCTTCAAAGATCTGTAAATGAAAATCCGAGAACAAAACCCACGAATTCAGAGGCACATGACCTAACATTATTTAAAAATGTTTTACTCTGTGTGATTCTTCCTTGAAGTTACTAACTTCTAATCTTAGCCATGTTGGTAGGTGCAGACTATCTAGTTGGGATCCGCGCGACTATCGTAACCAATGGTTGGAGACTCTGGTTGACATGAATCAGAATCGACCACAATGGCGTAGGTGTATACACTCTTTGTCTTCCTTTAAACTATGAGATTGAAATTATTTCACATCTTTCCTTCTACGAACTAATTCTTTCTTTCTGTACTATATCCTTACATAAAATCTTTCCTTTATATATTACACCATTGAGTTAACTGCTTCAATGAACTCGGTGTTCGCCTTGCTGAAAAATGAGGTGTGCCAACTGGGACCGATGCATGTATATGCCTGGTCCTACGTTTTAACTGACTGACTGATACCCGCAATATTTAAGGCGAAGTAGGGTGTGTTATTTCGAGAGATGAAATTTCTTTAATCACAAACAGCTTTGCTGGAGATGTCTGTTACCTGTTAAAAATATTCTATCTCTATCACACTGCAGTGCATTCGGTACTACTACTGTTTCTAGGAACAAGTGTTACAACTACTGTTACTGGATAAAGTCTTTATGATGCGTGACCCTGACCGTCACGTTTAGATAGTAACTTATAATCTATCTATACTGATACAGTCTGCAGATTGAATCTGTGAACTCATTCAGTTGGGTAATATTTAATTATATTTATTTAAAAGGTATAATGGGGTACTATATGAGAACTAATTTATCTCCTACTAGATTTTATTTATTTTATTTATTTTAACACATAGATATTGGTACAAGGAGGCACCAAATACATATACGCCACACAAATCTCATTCGATATGTGTTAGGGCTGTGATACTGCCCGGGTGCCCAAACCGAAGCAGGTGGTTTTCTTAGGGGGCCACTCCCCGAGCCTTCGACCTAAAGGTCTGACCCACAAGGCAGTGGAGCATCGTAATGAGATGCACTCCCGTGGAAGCGAGTGACCAACAATAGGTTCATATGCCATTTGTTCCTGCAGGATACTGGAGCCCATGTGCACCATCAGTTTGGGATCCGGTTAAAGCGCCGGACATTCGCTTTCCGTCCTCTCATTTTCGTAAACAACACCCGTGGTGCGAGAAGGCAGTGAGTAGGACTTCCCTGGCAGAGGCTATATACGCTTGGCCATGTGAGGGCATTTCGAGAGGGAGAGCGGGCTTTCCCCACTCTCGGCCGTACCAGGGCATTTGGGGGCACCTACTAGATTATAGCAGGATGTTTTATACTTTTACCAATACTCATATATCAACACCTATCAATAGTCTGATGATTACACCTATCTGTCGAACTCCATATTGGAGTAAATATTCCCTCCCAAAATATTATTTGATGTCTCCCTCTACATATATTATATATTATAATCAAATCATTTCTACTACGAGTTCATTTTTCAACCAATCCTAACTATACATGCACTACCAATTTTTAATACTGACTATGATCAGAGTGCATAAATGATCTTAACTAAGTGCATTCTATATATGTGTGTACTTCTCTATTGTAATAGAAAGCTATGATATTTTAACAATTCTGTATCTAAATTCAGTTTAATTGTATGCTGATTGTTATCGCAATATAAATGTCGCTAACCCTCGTATATTTTTATCGACTTAATTCACGTTTAAAGAATAACGGAATAAAAATAAGTTAATTACGAGAATAAAATTCGATTGCATATATGAT